TGGACCGCGGCCCCTCCGTTACCGGCACCGGTTCCGCGCCCCGCCCGGTCCCGCGCCCCGCCCGGTCCCGCCGAGCCGCCGTCTGCCCGCGTCGTACGACAGGTAAGGGCCGTCGGGGCGGGAGCCGTCCTCCCCCGGGCTGGAAGCCGGTTCCCCGGTGCGGAGATGCCGTCGGGGCAGGTGCTCGGAGCCGTGTTGTCCCCGGCAGCCGGTTGCAGCGGGTGTCGGGTGCCCCGGAACTGCCCCCGGGATGGGCAGAGCCGCCCCCGCCGGTGCTGCTGCCCCCCGCCCCGTCCATCCTCTGGGGCTGGACCCTGCACCCCTTCCCTGCATCCTTCAGGGTACCCATCTGTTGGGGTGCTGCTGGGGACGCTGCGCTGCCCAGGGTGCAGACCCGGGTGGGGACACCTGTAGCGACCCCCTTCTGTCCTGTTTTGGGACCAGCAGCCAGTGATCAATGATGATACCGGTGCTTTGAGATGAGTGGTTAATGTCAAGCCTGTGATGGTCCTTCTGGCTGCTGGCCCCAGCAGCTGTCCCTGTTGTCCCCTGCCCTGGCACGGCCCACACTGCGTCCTGCTCAGAGAAGAGAATCGAGGTCTGTGGACCAAAGAATGCTCTTTATGAGCTCTGGCCTCTTTGAGGGCTTCACTTGCAGGAAAAGCTGTGGTGCTTCTGGCAAAGGTCCTCGTTGCTGTTCCCACATGGGAACAGCTGCCCCTTGTGTGGGTGAGAAGCTGAATCCACCTGCCAGTGCGGCTGGTGGGAGATGCTGGAGGACACCAGCATGGTCCATGGTGGGGATTAAGGGGTCCTTGTGGGTTAGAGCCAGGCTGTGGTGCTGGGAGGTCTTGTGTAGTTCTGCAGCCGAGCTGGGGCTCACTGGGGAAGCGTTGTGCTCTGTGGGCGTCTGGATGTTTCCTTGGCTCTGTCTGCTGAGGGGTGGTGGGTTAAGTGCTGCAGCGGCAGACAGTGACAGATGCTGGTGGGATGATGGGGCAGGAAGGAGCCTCTGCCTGTGGGATTAGCCAGGAACAGGGCTGGCTGGGAGTGTGAGGAGCCCCGCTTCGCTGGGGAGGGAAGATTGTGCCCATCCCAGGGTACCCCCATGTCTCCCAAGCCCACATGGCCAGGAAATCAGATGCTTGGAAGGGAGATGGTGCTTGGTCAGGCTCCAGGTGAACTACTCAACTTTCTCTATGGAGAGAGAAGCTCCAGGAGCTCTCAGCAAACCATCTGCTGCTTGGGCTGAGCAATGCCAGCAGCCAAGGCTGCGTGGGAGCGGGCACGGCGTGTATCGGAGCAGCTCCGCATCCTGCCCACGCAGCTGCGGGCTTGCCAGAGCTCCGGCACACTGTGCCACAGGCAGCCCTGTGGCAGAGGGGTGCCCGGCTGCAGACCCCGTCCTCACCAAGGGCTGGCCAGGAGCAGGTCGGGCATCACTGCAGTCAGCTAGGTGCTGCAAATCGGCTGGTGCCAGGGAGGTTTTTCCCTGCTCTAATGGAAGACTCATGTTACCCCCTCTTTTTCCCATCCTTACAGAGGGCAGCTGGACATTGTGGCTTAGTAAAGGCCGCGTAAGGAGATATTCTGGATCATCAGTTGATTTTTGAGTGTTTTTCTACAGCCAGCCTAGGAGATGGGGGGGCGGACTGAAGGTGATGCTGCTGGCTGTGCTCGCAGGCTGCCTTAGGGCCAGCTCCCGCACAGCTCCAGCTGCAAAGGATGCAGCTGAGCATGGGCATTGAGCCTGTCCCCAGTGCCATGGTTGCTGTCAGGGCATTTGACAGTTTGGACACCCACCAGCCAGGTGGATCGGCTCTAGCGTGGCCCCAGGCATGTGGGGTGGAGCAGGACCTGGGAGCACCGGCCCTCCCCATGTCCACTGTATAGGAGCCATGCATTTTCCCTCCCAGGGGCAGCCATGGGGAAGCACAGCAGCAAGCTGGCCCCAGAGATGCTGGATGACCTGGTGAGGAGCACGGAGTTCAGTGAACAGGAGCTGAAGCAGTGGTACAAGGGCTTCCTCAAGGACTGTCCCACCGGCATCCTCAACCTGGAGGAGTTCCAGCAGCTCTACATCAAGGTGGGTTCCACCCTGAGTGCTGGAGCCCCTGCTCCTGCTGGGCCAAGGGTGCTGCTTTGGATGTAGCCTCCACACCAAGCTCCTCCTTCCCATTTCTGTCTCTCTTCTCTCCTCCCTGCAGTTCTTCCCCTACGGAGATGCGTCCAAGTTTGCCCAGCATGCTTTCCGCACCTTCGACAAGAATGGTGACGGGACCATCGACTTCAGGGAGTTCATCTGTGCCCTGTCTGTCACCTCCAGGGGTACTTTTGAGCAGAAACTCAACTGGGCCTTTGAGATGTATGACCTGGATGGGGATGGGAAGATCACGCGCCTGGAGATGCTGGAGATCATTGAGGTACAGATGCTTAATAACTTGGGTTTTTTTCAGGCTTTTCGCATCTACTGGGTCCCTTATGACACCAAAGAATAGGTTTTCTTCCCCAAAGCCTTGTCTGAAAAGTTCCTGGGGTGCACCTGGTTGTAGCTGTGCAGCAGCTAACTGGGTCCCATGGCAGCAGCAATCCTGTCCCCTGCCTTGTCCCGATACCTTCCATCCATTCAACATTCCTGCTCTGGTACTTTGCTTCTCTCCTTGCTCCAGGCCATTTACAAGATGGTGGGGACTGTGATCATGATGAGGATGAACCAAGATGGGTTGACACCCCAGCAGCGTGTTGACAAGATCTTCACAAAGATGGACAAGGACAAGGATGACCAGATCTCCCTGGAGGAGTTCAAGGAGGCAGCGAAGAGTGACCCCTCCATCGTCCTCCTCCTGCAGTGTGACATGCAGAAATAGAGCCCTGGGGGCTCATCGCTGGACTGGCTGTAGCCCACCTCTGCTCCTCATGATGGTTTCCATCCCCAGTTTCTGCTGAGTCCCCCCTGTACCCGCTTGGCCCCAGGTGTGAGCCACACTCTGTCCCTCCTGCCACCCAGCTGTGTCCTGGGCAGCCTGCAGTCCATGGGCTGTAGTTCTCCCTCGATGGGTACAGCCTCCTCTGGGTATTGTCAGGTTGAGGTTACTCCCAAATCAACCCTCTCCCTTCCTGGAGCTGGACTCCCAGCAGCTGATGGCAAGCGTCCTGGTTCCCCAGGGCCAACTGCTCCCACGTCCCTGCTGCTTCCTCCCTGCTTTCCCCCGCACTGCTCTGCTGGCCTGTTCCCTGCTCCTAACCGAAACCAGCTCTTTTTCCCTTTCTGCTGATCTCCTCTCATTGCTTGTGGTGCTTCCAGGGAGGCTGAAAAGTCCCAAGTCCTGGTCCTGGTCTCTCATTCAGTGGCAATTTCCTTCAAGGCTGCCTGGAGGGGCCAGGGCTGGCCCCAGGGTGCTGCACCCTCCCTGAGGACTGGCTGCCTTGGCTCCCTCCGCCTGGCTTTAGCTTTTCCACCTCTGCTTTTGCTGCTGGGAATGGCCAGGGTTGGTCAAGGGACTTTAGGGGAGAGCAGAAGCATCCAAGGCCACCTCTGGGTGTGGCCAGTGTCTGATCCCAGAAGCCACCTTCTATCACATCATCTGTGTGAGCTGGCAGAGCAAGTGGGTGACCTCCACCACTGCCTCAGCAGCATCTTGGATGCTTTGTGGAGTTTCTGGCCTTCCTGGATATTGAGATGATGCCTGAGGTCCCAAATCAAAAGACAAGGGCTGTCTAACTCCTCCGTGGGCTGCTCTGGGGCAAGATCAGGAGCTGTGGATGTTGAAGGCATGTCCTGGTGCCACTCCTGGTGTGTGGCACCACTGTGGGGACTGGTGGGTCCAGGACTTGGGGCTGTGGAGAAGTCTGGATGGGTCCCGTACCTGCTGAGCCTCCTGGCAGGGCTCTGAGGCCACAAGAAACATGTCTGTCTCCTTCCTCCCTCCATTCCAGCCTGCTGCCTCTGTCCCTCCTACCCCAGGACAGGAATATTGTCACAGATTGGTATTTAGTCTGCACATTGTGGTGTTGATGACTGTAATATCTGTTAGGAGATAGTGAAGTTGTTATCTATTTTTTTAATGGAAAAATAAACAGTCCCTCATATGTGGTGTTCCCCCTGAATGGCTTTTGGGGGGGGACAGCTGACTGCCACAGCTATGGGGAGAGCGAAATGACAACACTGTGCTCCTGAGCATTGTTTGTGGGTCTCATCTGAGCCTGTGACACTCCAAGGGATGGAGAAGCCCTTGGGGACAGCACAGCGGGGCTCAGTCTGGGGAGCCTTGAAGAGTGGTGAAAGTGTAACCCCTCAGCCATGCAGGTAGCTTTGGGGGAAGGGAATGATATCTCTTGGGGCTGGGTAGGACCAGATATCCCTGTTCTGTGCTGGAAATAGGTTTCATTTGTCAACCAGGAGCCAGACCCTGGCTGTTCCCTTCATTCAGAGCTGGGCATAGCCAGAGGACCTGGTGGCTTTGTCCCGGGCCTCATCTCAGCACCATCAGCAACTGGAACCTGCTATTGCTGTACCTTTTGTCTTTCTTCTCAGCCTCCTCTTCTCCAACCCTGTTGTCTCTGCACGTATTTTCCTGTGGCCTTTCTTCTCCATCAGCAGCCTGCGGAGACGGTGGCTGTTGCTAAGGGCCTCTCACCAATTTTAAATGCTTCTCTGTAGTCAACGAGGCAGAGCTGGCTCCTGGCTGTGAGCCCAGCTGTGTGGTGCCGCTCACCCCATCCTGCCTGGCTCTGGTGTGCGGGGAGATGCATGGCTCGGCTTCCACCATGAAAATCATAGAATCATAGACTCATTTAGGTTGGAAAAGACCCTTAGGATCATTGAGTCCAACCATCAAATCACCAGTATCTTCTCTGTCCTGCAGCAGCCAGCACCTGAGCACAGAGATGGGAGGATGCCAAAGCTGTGGCAGCGTGTGTGGTTTTTAGGGGTGCTGCTGAGGGAGAGCTCTGGGCACCTTGGGTTTGGCTGCTGTGCTCACCTGGGCTGTGCAGGAGTGTGTGTCTGCAGCTCAGGGGTGCCTGGGGAAAGAGGGACATACGGGGCAGGTTGTCCCCGCTCTGTGGGAGCCTGGGGACGTGCCAGGGCTGCTGTCTGAAAGGGCAGTAACTCACACTTGAGAAGGGACTCTGAGAATCGCCTCTGTGATCCCAGGACTCTCAAACCTCCTGCTTCCCTTGGGGCTACCCCAAAGGAAGCTCAGGCATTTCCCAGGATGGACCTGCAAAGGCCCAGGGGAAAGGGTGTCTTTGAGGCTGAAATGATGTTAAACTCCCAGAAGGGCATCCCAAAGGGTTTGGGATCCAGGCAGCCGGGTGAGCCCTGCAGCCAGCCCTGAAGCCAGCCCTGTTCACCAGCACCTGGCTTCTCCTGGCTCTGCTCTCCTGATTGACCCTCAGTGTGAGTGAGGTTGTGTTTGATCAGTCCCATGGGCAGGGAGATAAATGTCCATGAGACGTGGTCTGCGGGGAGGGTTGGTGTTTAGCTGCTAGCACAGAGCTTTGGGCAAAACCCTTCTGTTGGCCTCAGTGCTGGGGCTCTGTGACCTCCCCAAGTTGCTGCCCTGTGCCAGGTGAGACAAAGTGGGATCCTCCATCACTTGGTCCTTCCTGGCTGCTAAGAGTTTTAGTCTCTGGGGCATGGTCCTTGTTGCCCAAGGGCCTCTGGGCTGTGGGGGTCTGCTGGTTGTGGTGCAGTTTTCAACCTGAGCTGAAAGCTAGGCTCCGTGCCCAGAGCATATAGCTCTGTGGCTTTACTCAACCCCACCAGCATTCGTGGGAGAACGTTTAGTGAAGAGCCTTAATTAATATCCACCCTCACTCCATTAACAAGCACACAGTGCAGGTTACCTTGGCATAGAGCAGAGTGTGAGCGTGGCTATGGCTGCTCCTTCCCCTCCAGCTCCTGGTACTGACCACACTTGTGCCCTTCCAGCCCCCTGGTCCCCTGCCACCCGTGCCACGCTGAGGATGGATGAACCCCAACGACCCCCGATGCTCCTGAGCCCAGAGCCAGCTGGTGTCTCCCATGGGTGCCCGGTCCCCTCCTGCTCCCCTGTGCTCCCCAGGCTCTCTGCTGGTGGCACCTTTCTCCCCCAGCCCCTTCCTTCCCACCCCCGGGGGCTGACTCCGCCCCGGAGCGGCCGCGGAGCCCTCCCGCCTCCCTCTTCCCCCCGGGATTCGGGGGAGATGGGGGGGGATGCGGCACCGAAGTGGAGGTGGCGGCGGGGCGGGCTCGGTCCCGAAGAGGTTAAGCCGTGTCCCGGTGGGCTGAAACCCCGGAGCTTCATGGGATGCCTTATAAAGCGCGCTCCGCCGGACCGGCAGCGGCTCCGGCAGCTCCCGGTAGGCGCGGACCGGCCGGCGGTGGCAGCAGCGCAGCCCGGAGCCGCCGCGCTATGGAGCCCCCGGGCACCGCCGGGGCGCCGGGCGCGGCGGGGCGGCCCTGGGAGGAGGCCAAGGCTTTCTACGACAACCTCGCCCCCAAGAAGAAGCCCAAATCGGTGAGAGACCCCCCGAGTCGGGCAGCCCTCCCCACCCCGGAGAGGAACCGGTCCCGCTGGGTGCCCCATCTTCTCTGGGTGCCTTCCCCTGTGTGTCCCACCTCCTCTGGATCCCCCTGGGTCTCTCCAAGTGTCCCATCTCCTGCAGGTTCTCTGGGGTCCTCCTGGGTGTCCCGTCTTCTCTGGGTTCCCCCGTGGTGGTGCACCCACTCTGGGTGCCCTGTCACCTCCAGGTACTCTGGAGTCCCTCTGAGTGCCTCTGGTTTTTCTTTGACTCCCTGTCTCTGTCCAGGTCCTTGGGGAAGCTCTGGGTCTCTCCAGGTGGCCCCACTCCTCCAGGGCGTCTCCAGGTGCCACCACTCCTCTCTGGCATCCCTGGGTTGCCCTTGGTTGCCTGGGTTCTCTCCAGATCCCCCCAGTCTCTCTGGGCCTCCCTGGGGTTCCTGCAGGTCCCTGGTGTGTTCCTGGGTCCCTCCTGGGCTGAGGTGTCCTTGCAGAGCCGCTCGGTGCCCCCTGAGCCACCCGTCCCCTGCGCCAAGGCAGGAGGCCCTGCCAGGGATGGGAGGGGTGGCCGTGGCTGAGCAGGGGGACAGCCCAGAGGCTGAATCCCTGCCCGGAGCAGGGGGGTGTCGCAGGGGTGTAGCTGCCTCTGCCAGGCTCGTCTGTTCCGGGAGATTAGAGGGAAAAGCCTGCGTTATCTAACCAGGGCTGAGCCGGCTGGGTTTAAACATGGGTGCGCCTGGAAGTGCTGCTGTATCTCAGAATAGCTGCTGTGTCTCAGAATAGCTTGGGGGGGGGCTCTGGGGGCTGCGTCCCGGGGCAGGCTGGCCTTGGCCCCGCAGCCTGGGAGCCCTTCCAGCCATTGCTGTAGCCATCCTCGATGCTCTGGGTGCCCCCCGAAGTGTGGGGCTCTGGCAGAGGTGCTCCCCCTCTCCCCCCAGCAGCGATGTGGGGAGCCCGGTGACACCCGGTGCCTTTCGCAGCGAGGTTTTGTGAGTCCAGCGAGGGGAGATGGCCGAGCCCTGGCTCTGCACGCCTGACTCGGGGCAGCCCCTGTGCTGGGGACCTGGCTGCAGCCCCCCCAGTCCTGTACCCGCTGCCGACTGATGGTGCTGCTGCCTTCGCCCTTCCCAGAGGAGAGGGACAGCCTGACTTGGTGGCAGGGATGTGGCTGGTTATCTTTCATGCCATGCTTTCAGCCTCCTGTGGATGTCAGCCCGGGCTCCTCCTCTTCCTCTCCTTGCAGCGAGCTTGGTGACCAGCGCGCCCATCCCTGTGGTACAGCTGGGGAAACTGAGGCACGGGGCAGAGATGAGATTTGCTTGCACAGCAAACCAGCTGGGATCCAGTGTCTCGGGACACAAAGTGGCATCCACCCAGGTGGTGGTGGGGCCGATGCCCGTGGAGCCGGCCCAGCTCTGTGCCCCCCAGCCGGGACAGGCTGGGGGCCCTGTGCCCGTGGCCAGGCAGCTCGGCTTGTCCTCGCACAGCTGGGCTGCCCTGCCAGGCAGCTGTCAGGCCCCATGACGGACGGCTGCGAAGCGCTTTTCTGCAGTATAAATAATGTGTTTGGAAAACTCAGAAACATCTCAGCCATTGCCCTGAACTTTAATCTGATCCCGAGCAGGGGGCTCATGGCCGCCCAGGGCTCCCTTCCTGCACGTGGGAAATGGAATTTGCCGTTGTCCGTCTGCGCCCTTGGGGGTACCAGGTCCATCCGTCCTCTCGGCCAAATGTCCCTTCCACTCACAGCAGATTCCGGTGGGGGAGCGGGCACAGGAGCCACCCATCCTGGAGACAGGCTGTAAGGTGGCAGGAGGCAGGGTGTTTTTGGGGTGCATTCCTGGGGAAGCCCGTTCCTGGCTGGGGAAGGGGTTAACAGCCCACCGGGCTCCCCGCTTTGCAGGGGTCTCTGCTCTTCCCACGCCCCAGCTCCCACGCTGCTCCTGCCAGCTGGGGAGGTCAGCGATGAGACTTGTCACTCTTTAGCAATGTGGAAAATGTCCCCCCCAGCCTCTCCAGTGACACTGTGTGCGGAGGAGAGGCTGGGTCGGTGGGAGCTGCCCTTCTGCTAGCCCCACTCCTCCGGCACCCCGCTCACCCCCTGCTCTACCTGCCCCTGGCACCAATCTGACCTCAATTTTGGGATGCTTTAGCTGAGGTGGGGACCTTCCTCTTCCCTTTCTTTGACCAAATCTCGCAGCAAAATTCACCTCCAAATTCTGAATTTGGTCTTCTGCAGCATCCAGGGAAGTGCCCAGAGCTGCCAGAGTTCCGCCAGGCTTTTAGGATCAAGGTGGGTCCAGCAGATTCAGCCCCAGGTGACGCAAACAGATCTTTTGCATCAGGGGGTGAAGAAGGGTGTCCCCACTGTGCCCCCTGCCATGGAGCCAGCCAGTGGTGGCCTCCAGGGGTGGCATTGAAGCGACTAGGGTTGGGTGCCGCTGTGGGCTCTCTTGGGTGGGAGGGCAGGGCCCCACTGCACATCCCGGGAGCTCATGGGATTTCCAAATGTCCCTCTCTAATCCTTGGGGGGCTGTGTGGGATTTGCATCTGATTAGAAGAGTGATTTAGAGACCTGCCAGCTGTTGGGTCTGCAGAGGAGAATGTGCCATTTCCAGTCACTTGCTGAAATGCGTCTTTGCCCCAAAACTGAGGTGTTTGGGTCTGGGATGCATTTTGCACCCTATGGAGCCAGAGCCTGCTGGAAAGGTCATTTATGCTTTGGAGATGGGGTTTGGACCTTGTGGACCACCTGGAGCTGTGCCAAGGGCTGATGTTCCTCTTCAGAGGACGGGCCTGTCAGGACGTGTCCCTGGTTGTCCCCCGCCATGACTGGCTGAGCCCAGGGATGGATCCAGGTTGGGATGGGACCTTCCCCCATGCTGCCCTGCTCACACTTTTGTTAAACACATCATTCATCTCCTGCTTGATGTAAAGGATGAGGCTGGATCTGACCTTCCCGTGGGAAGGGAGGGAGGGAGAGGAGCTCACCATGAATCCCCAGGCAGAAAATTTAGTTGGATGTGGCTGAGTGGAGCCCCACAGCCACTTCCTGGGCTTGTGTTGGATGATGAGCTTTAGCTGACCTTGGCCGACCTTGGATGCTGCTCGGAGAGTAAAACAGGGTTTGTCATTCAGAGCGCCTGGACCAGCCAGGGCTGGGGCAGCCGGAGCAGGAGGCTGGGATGGGATTGGGATGCTCTGCAAGCTCCACGACATCTCGTGGGACTGAATACATCCTGACAAGGACTGCAAGTGGGACCCTTCCTGTGCACGTGCTTCCTTTGAAAAATGAAGGGTGTTTTCCCTCCCCCCCCCCCCTATGATGTTTCAAGGCAAGGTGGGGTTTGCTGGGTTGTTCACAGAGGATTTGAGGTGCGGTGGTTCCTGTAGCGCTGTGACTTTTTAAAGCCCATTTTTGAACGTAGTAATGATCATCTGCAGTAAAAATGGGGACGGAGAAGCATCCAAACAACCTTGAGGAGGGAACGCTTCCAAATGAAACCTCTACTTCAAAGAAATGTCAAAATGCGACTCCCTCCTCGCGGAGCAGAATTGCCTTATTTTTTTAAATGTCAGTGTTTCCCAGAGAACAGCAGGGCTGTTCCAGCCCAGACGGAGCTGGGAGCTGCCTTAGCGCCCGGGTGAGACTTTCCAGCAGAAAAGTGCTCCAAAGGTGCAAATCTTCCTTGGCAGGAGCAAACAGGATCCAGCAGGTCCCGTTCCCGGAGGCCAGGCTTCCCACCCGCAGGCAGCCGGGGCTCCAGCAGCCCATGCCGGGGCAGAGTTAGGCCCCCAAGCTTACGGTTATTTTTATTGCTGTGTTTATTACCTCTTAAATTAACCTCCTGGAGGCCAGTGCCTTTAAATGGCAGGGAAGGGACCTTGAGCAGCCTGTTGCTGTTGCGCAAGGTGCCTGTGCTCCTGGCACCTGATGGGTGCAAGGTGTGTGCCACCCTGGGGGGAGATAGAGATGCAAATTCTGGCTGGGCATCCGGCTGGGCTTGGCTTGTGGCCACGCAGCTCACCCCCCTGAGCATCCCTCTGTGCTCTGCCGTGCTGCTGACCTACTTTCTCCGCTGGGAATCCTCCTGCGGGGCCGGCTGTGGAGGATGCTCTGCCCTGCAGTCCCTCGGGGACTGGGAACACCAAACACCCAGCACCTCTCCTACACACCCAGATAAATCACCCAGTACTGCAGCGACCCGGGAGCGGCAGAACTCCTTGGTGAAGGCTAATGGGCGCATGTCCCAAGACCTTTAATAGTTATTAATATTTTCAGCTAATAAATGGCCCATGACACCAGAGTTATTAATTAATGAGTTGGAGTGCTAAGATGTGGCCCGTGGCGAGTTAATAGCTAACACCCACCGGGGAGCTAAAACGTAAGGTGGGGACTTGGCGGCTGCGTTTTGTTCGTGGGAGTGATGCTGGTGTCACGCATCACCTTCTGCATGGACCTGGGTGATCCTGCGTGTCCTAGGGGTTCTTCACCTGCTTTCCCCAAAGAGACACTTCCAAACGGGACCCCATTTCTCTGCAATGGGAAAGGGATCCCTCTGGCCACAGTGATGTTCTCAGCCTGAGTTCATCTGTGTCTAGTCCTAATCTCCCACTGCTTAATCTGCTTGCTGGGGATTTTGGGTGCTGATGTGGCCTAGGAGAGGTGTCTGGGACCAGCCGTGCTGCGGGGCTGGCCCCGGGTGCCACGTACGGGGGAGGTGCGGTGCTGGGAATGGCACAGGGGATGCCATTGACTCCTTCCTGGGTGCGTCTCCATGCTGGGCAGGATCAGCAGGGCTGGGGTGGGGGCAGAATGAGCCCCAGGGCAGGGCCAGCCCTCCGGGGAATGAAGATTCCCGGTTACGGACGGGGTACCTCGTCCTTGCCAGGCTGCTGTTTCTGTAAAGCTAAGCCCTAGGCAGGGTGGGAGCTTGAACTTTGGAGCACCTGGGTGTGTGAGCAGCTGGCCAAGGCGCCCTCCTGCCCCCGGGCAAACATCATTGCTGGAGGATTACTCACAGGGGTAACGCGGGTACATGAGGATCCTGGAAATCACAGAGGAGCTGAGGGCGAGGTGTTACTGAAGTGCTGACGGCCTGGATTTCACAGGCTCCCTGCGGAGATGCATCCCTGAGCACATCCCTGTGGGCTGGGACCACTCCTTGGAGCATCCCCCCTATGTCTCCCCCCAAGCCCTGTCCTGCTCCCAGGACTTGCTGGCATCATCCCTCCTCAGGATTTGCTGTTCTGGGAATGAGGATTTCTTGTGGGCCATCAGTAAGGAAGTTGTGTTCATGCTTGCAAAGGAGTGATGGGGATTAACACCCTCCTGCCCTCTGAGGGGAGAGGGAGGACAGGTGAGGGTCAAGATGAGATTGACTTTCCTGGTGCCCCCTCTCTTGCTGCCAAGTCCCACTAGAGGCCCCTTGTTGAGTTCGGTGGATTTTGGATCAAGCCCTCGAACATTAATAATAATGACTCATAAATCACTGCTTGCACCACCTGTTTGTCATGTTTCCACCCACAATAACTATATCAAGTGTTTTTGTAAGCTGAGCTGGCACGGGTTGTTTGTCACATCTGGACAGCATCGTGGGAGTGTGGATCTGGCCCAGCCACAGTGTGTGGTTTTTCCTGGCTGGAGGGCGAAAAGCCACATAAATTCCTTCTGCGTGGGGCTGAGTGGTTCTCCTGGGATAGCACGTTGGGAGCCTGCTTGCAGTGGGAGGGCTTGCACGTGGTGTGAGGAGCAGAAAAAGGGGTTTTGGGCGTCCCAAATGTGTGGGGAGGGCGCATCAGGGCTTCATCTCTTGAAGCATTGGAAGATTAGGGTTGCAGCTCCTCCGAATCACTATGGAGGTATCGCCCACCCCATGATCTTTCATGTTGGAAGTTGGCAGATGCCCCCTCAGGCAGCGGGGTTGGGTGCAGGGGCTGCTTCCCCATTTTCTCCCTTTCCCCCGCAGCCAAAGCCCGAGAATGCCATCACCATCGCGGTATCGTCGCGGGCGCTTTTCCGCATGGAGGAGGAGCAGAAGATTTACAACGAGCAAGGGGTGGAGGCCTATGTGAAATACCAGCTGGACCATGAGAACGAGCCCTTCCTCCCCGGGGCTGCCTTCCCCTTCGTCAAGGTGAGCATCCCCCCCACCTAGGCTGAATCTGCACTGTCCCCTGCTTCGGGGAGAAAGAGGTCCTTTTGTGGGGAAGGGGTGGGAAATGAGCAGCGTGGGAGAAGGGATGCAGAGCAAAGAGAGGTCAGACAAACCTCTTGGCAAGTGATGTGCTCCTTCCAGGGCTGAGGAAACACTGAATTTTCCAAATCAGTAACTGAGCCCAAGAATTGAAGAAATTGTCTCTTTGGAGCATATTTAAAGTTTCCCTTTAGGGAACTCTCATATCTTTCTGTTTATTATTCTTACAATTTATTTATTCTTTTAAATTGGCTGAATTTAGCCTTGCTGCAGTTTCAGCCAATTTCTAATTTTGACATGTTTGAAATGAAGCATTTCAAACTTTAAAAATATTTTCCAATTTCTGCCTTAGTGTCACTGGATTTAGTGTAGTTCTGTGTGCTGGCCCGCACTGAAGCAATCTCTCACCCGTTCCCAATGACTAAACAAATCCACTTAGAGGGGAGAGACTTGTTCCATGCCTGATTGCTCGAAAAGCACTTATCTGTAACTTCGAGCTAATTTATTCTCATCTCCTAATGACAGCTTGAAACCTTTTGTGTTTGAAAATAGATGAGTTGTTATGTGGGGTTTTTTTCACCCAAATCAGTCTCTTTTTCCCCAGCAAAAGCTGCTTGCTGATGTCAGCTTGGCTCAGGGTGTAGTTGAGGTTGGGCCAGATCCCTGGTTTTGGTGAACACAAGTGTTTTTCTGGGTGAGAAGGGGGTGAGGGCTGTTCCTGGGGCTCACTGACACCCACCCCCCCTGTACCCCGGGGTGCTGCAGGCACTGGAAGCGGTGAACACGCAGCTGCGCGAGCTCTACCCCAACAGTGAGGAGCTCTTCGACATTGTCCTCATGACCAACAACCATGCCCAGGTCGGGGTTCGCTTGATCAACAGCATCAACCACTATGGTGAGCTCAGAGCAAAGGGATCCTTCACGTGGGGGCTGCCGGCTTTTTGGGGAGGGCAGTTTAGGTTATTGCTTGGCAGCAAGATAAGGAGACGCTTTCTCCTGTCTCTTCCTCCAAACCACAAGCTGAGCCCGCTTTTCCCAAATTTCCCGGGCTTTGACTGGAAGTTGGCTGGTGGTGAGGATGCTCTGGCTGCTGGCAATGCTGTTTAACAGCAGTAACACAATTAGCCCCCATCCTGCCGACTCTTTGGAGGCCACGGGGCAGCAGTGTCAAGGACTGTTTTGGAGGTGACCACACTCACCCCGGGTCCATCTGCCCCCAGATCTGTTCATCGAGAGGTTCTGCATGACGGGAGGGAACAGCCCCATCTGTTACCTCAAGGCCTATCACACCAATCTCTACCTCTCCTCTGATGCTGAGAAAGTGAGTGAGGCCATTGAAGAGGGTGAGTCTGGGGTCTGGCTTGGGGGGGCAGTGGGGGGAGCCTGGAGCCCTCAGGGGGTTAACACCAGGAGCAATAGCTCCAGTGTCCCTGTCCCTACCCTGATGTGCAGCTAGGGTCTGCTGTCCCATGTCCCATCCTTGATGCTCCAAAGAGCCTCCAAGGAGCCTCCAAGGAGCTCCGCAGCTCTTCTGAGGCAAAAGCACTGGTTTTCCCAGTTAATTCTTGTATGCAAAGGGAGGTTTATCATCTGGGGACCTATTTTTGCTGTAAAAGGTCTTTGGTCCAAGCTGCAGGTACTACTGGGTGCATGCATTTCCTTGCAGTGTTTGCTTTCAGCCCATCGTGTTTTGCTCTGCTCCTCAACAGATGAGCCACAAGGCCAGGTCCTTGGGTAACTGCCACCTCTTGCCTTGTCCTTTACCTCCACAGGGATCGCTGCAGCCACCATCTTCAGCCCCAGCAAAGACCTGGAGGTGTCAGAGAACCAGCTGCGGGTGGCATTTGATGGTGACGCCGTGCTCTTCTCGGATGAGTCGGAGCAGATCGTGAAGGCTCACGGCTTGGACATGTTCTTTGAGCACGAAAAGGCTCACGAGAACAAGCCTCTGGCACAGGTAGTGGTGGGGTGCAGCCAGAAAAAGCCTCTGGGAGAGAGTCTGTCCTCTTGCCTCTGGGAACAAGCCAGGGATTGGCATGTGGAGTGTGAAACGGGATGGGCCAGCAGCCTGGTACTGCTGGAATTGGCCCATGGGATGGCTACTGCTGGCCTCTCGCTGTCATTTCTGGGTGCTTACAGGGAGAAGGGGTTAGCTGGGAATGGGCGCCTGGGAGAGGGGATGGCATGAAGGTCTTGGGAGTGATGGGTTCTACTTGCTTTGGCAGGGGCCCCTGAAGGGCTTCCTGGAGGCCCTGGGGAAGCTGCAGAAGAAGTTCTATTCCAAGGGGCTGAGGATGGAGTGTCCCATTCGCACCTACCTGGTGACCGCCAGGAGCGCGGCCAGCTCAGGAGCCCGGGCCCTAAAGACTCTGCGCAGCTGGGGTCTAGAGACAGATGAGGCTTTGTTCCTGGCGGGGGCTCCCAAGGGGCCGCTGCTGAAGAAGATCCGCCCTCACATCTTCTTCGATGACCAGATGTTCCACGTGGAGGGAGCCAAGGAGATGGGCACTGTTGCTGCCCACGTCCCTTACGGTGTCGCCCAGAAGCACAAGCGGCCGGTGCAGGAGAAGCAAACCCCGAACAGCAAGTAGGGGAGCTGGCTGGTCCCACGCCCCCCGGCGTGCGGCGCAGACTTCACCCCATGCACCACGCTCTCACCCGGCTTGTGGTCTGCAAGGCGGAGGGCATTAGCCCTGACGAATGTGAGGTTATTCCCCAGTGGGAGCCTTGTCGGGGGCACGGATGGAGGAAGGGGCTGACAAAAGGCTTCTTCTTGCCTCTGTATTTGTTGCAATGTCGTGGCATTGTCCCCGTTCCTCCTGGGGCAGCCCCTCGAGCCCTCTCTTCCCCTCGCTCTACACTTGCTTCAGGCAAAATCCCTTAAGGATGGATCTGTGGTTTTTTTGTTGGGTTTTTTTTTTTTTTTTTTTTTGTGGACTGTTTGTGCCAGGCAGGTTTAACCTATTGGCGTTTCTTTAAATACCCCAGGTAATTCCTGAAGCCGTTGATTTGCAAAGCAAATGTTCAGGCTGAACTGTTGAACTGGAAAGTTGGGAGCACAGAAAAAACCCTTCTAGCAGCTTTGAAACAAAATGTTGTCCCTTTAAAATAAAATTAAACCCTAATATTGCTCCTTCACAGATCCAGCCCCTGCTCCCCAACCAGAAAACCTTCCACATCTTTCTCCTTCCATCAAGATTTTGTCAGCTGAACAGCTTTCTTTCCGTGCACTAAATTTGGAAAAATAGAAACAAACACTTTTATATATATATATATATATATATTTAAAAAAATTTATTTCCTGCTTGGAACTTTGGGCCACTGTATTGTTGGCCCAGTATTTTAAATTTAGGTTTCACAGTCGCATGAGTTAGCACTTAAAAATAATAATCTCAATGAGGCATCCAAAGACCCAGCTCTTCTGTGAGCCGTCCAGGGTCCCCAGACACACGCCTGGGGCTTGAATTAGGTTAAAAGCAGGCCCTGATGTATTAGGGACATCATTTGAAGTCCATTTAGGTAAATCTGCAGAGAATTTCAGCCTGGGGGTTTTAATTAAGTTTTTTTTTCCCCTTTTCTAAGATGAGCCCATATGAGTTGATAATCTTTTTCTCCTCAGCTTCCTAAAACCTCTGATGTTTCCTGAAATAGACACCTCTGCCAGCGATGCTGGGAGAAAGAACCAAATCTCCACTTAAAAAACAGGGAGGGAAATCAATTGGAGAGCCGCTTCGAAATCGGTGTGAAAATCACACTGACATTTCTACACAAAGCCCCGGGCCAAAGGACCCTCTCAGGAGGGAAATTTAAAGATTACTTCTTCCTTGTGGGATTTTGTTCTTTCTTTTTTTCAGTCAGCATACCCTGTGGTTGGGCAGGATGGATGCTCGCTGTTATGAAACAATAGTTTTCTACACAAACCAATGCTGTGGGCTGAGTTTTTCCCAGGTATGTGTCTGCCTCTGGATGGACTTCGCAGGGAGGTTTCGGCTAAAACAGCTCAGCCCTTCTCAAGTTAGAGCTCGAGTTATCACACTTTCAATGAATATATCAACAAGCTATTGATGCCTTCAGTGGCTCGGGGGACTGTTTTCTCATTGCACTAAATCCTGCTCTAGCAGTGAAAAGCAAATAATTGCACTTTCCCCCCCACCCCTCTAAACTATTTCACTTTGACAGACTGTTATTTGTCACATCTGGGTGACAAGTACCTTAAAGAAAGGTCTAAAATACAACAAACAAACAAAAAGTCTTGAAAGAAACCAGTATCTCAGTAACGCTTCTATTAATATACAGGTTTATAAAAAGGTTGTGTCTTTTCAATGTGAACCCCAGCTATTGGGATCCGAACTGTCTCTCGGAGACCTTTTTGGCAGCTGGGAGGGGGAGAGAAGCCTGGCCTCCCAGTAAACATTTCCAAGGTGTTTCCTGAAGATCACATCGGGAAGCCCAGCCAAGCCCAGCTCGCAGACGGGCTGTGCTGGGGCCTCTTGCCAGCCCAGGAGGTGGTGTCCCAAGAGGAACAGGGTTGTCAGCAAGTCCTTAGGGAACCCCCAGCCAGCGCAGGGGTATGGGGTGCAAGCACAGGCACGGGGGATGTGTCCTTCGGACAAGGAGTGTTGGCAGGGCTGGGCTGTGCAGGAGGAGATGCCCCATCTGAAGATGCTGTTTGCTCCGGGGAAGCAATGTGTTGTGATTTTGGGGCAGGGTCCTGGATCTCAGCAGCTTTTACTGCTGCCTTTCCCTGAGATGCACAGGGAGCAGGGCACAGCGCAGACAGGAGTTTCAGTGACTCTCCTTAGGATCCTCCTGCTGCCAGAGCAGCATAGGGGCTTGCTGGGAGACATGGGGCTTGAGAAAGGAGCCCCAAGTGAGGTAGGACCTCCCTTTGCACCTCCTGAGTCCTTCCTGTGGGGGGAGGATTTTCCATTCCTGCAATGGCTGCATTTGCTTTTATCCACGTGGCTTCCTACAGGTTGTGGTTTTTTTCCTCCTTGTCACTACAACTGGCAGATGTGGATTTGCTGCTTGTGTCCTTTCCTCCTGTGCCCATCCGCGATGTCCCCTCAGGCTGGGGGAGCCATGTGGTCCCCAGGACGGGCTGCATGGGCTGGTCACGTCTCCCACCCTGATGGGCCAGTGCGGTTGTGCCCCTTGCACTGCGTTGGCTGACAACTGGACTTTCCCGCTGTGTGTTGTTGCTGTGGGTTTCACTTCATTGTCCTCTGGTGTTTTGGTTTTTTTTTTGCTCTTGTGAATGGACTGCCATGTTAATGAAATCCCTCTGGGTGTTTTTCTGTAATAAACTGTGTTGGTCCCAGCCCGGCTCTCGCTGTTGCCGTTCTCACAATGGGTATTTTGGCTCCCTGGTGCAAGCCAGCAAGAGGGTCTGGGGTTCCAGCTGGGGACTTCCCAGGTTTTATGGTGAAGGGGTGGATGGGGGTGATGAGAAGGAAAAAGAGCCTTTTGGGATTTAAGGGAATTCAGAAAAAATGTAATAAAAAGCAGCTACCTGGAAACTGGAGACCTCTGGAAGAGGTGGGATTGCAGAGTTGAGAGATGTGCTGTGATACAGCTACCTCCCTCTGCTTCGTGAACAGGCTTTTATTGTAACCTGGGCTTGTGATGAAGTCCTGGATAAAAATACCATTTGGCAGACTTTTGTCAACTTGATTTTCTCCCAGCCAACAGGTGGGAGGCAGCAAAAGCTTTTTAGAGGAGATTTATTGCTGCTGAAGTACCAGGTTTATCCGACTAGTGACACTGCGGTTCTGGTGTTAGCTCCTCCCCGCCAATAAGGAGAACAGATGGGTTAAGGGGAAGCAACAAATTCTCCATCCGTCACCAAATATAGCCAAGGAATGTCCACAGGCCCTGGGGCAGCATCTCTGCTATGGGTGTTCAGATGGCCCTTGGCAGAGAGTGTTTTTGTGCAGCCTTGCTTGCTGGAATGCCTTCCCAAGGCCCATCCCTAATCCTGCATGTTCTTCCACCAGATGCTTGGAGGGAAAAAAAAAATCGAATTCCAGTACTGATAAGGCCCATGTTGCACCAGTTAAAGTCCAGGTGGTCCCAGCCAGCCCTGAGAGGTCAGGCTGTCCATGCCAAAGCCAAGAGCTGGCTCTGATGTTCATGCAAAGACTGCCCCAAGCTCTTGCCTCACTCCTGGGGACTGGCGTTAGCCCTAGGGCCAAGGAGCCAACGGGTCATGGAGAAACATGGGCCAAGGCCATGCAAGGAGGGAAGGGGGAGGTTTGTGCAGTTGGGTCTGTGGTGTCTTCTTGATGGTTTGCTGCAAGCCCAAGTTTTTGTTTCTGTTGCCTGTTTTCTGAGCTTTTTCCTTCTCAGGCACCAGAGGGCTTTGCAATGAGCGTGCTTTAAAATAAAGAAGATGGAGGAGGAAAAAGCGGAGGCAGAGCTGATGGAGAATTATGCTGCCACTCAGCTATTGTCAGTGCAGATGTTCACAAGGTAATCATGGCCTTTGAATAGCAAGAACTGCTTATCATGACAAATCCAGGATTTAACTCCAAGAACTTTTGGGGCTTCTTGGTGAGGGTGTGATGCTCCTGATGACCAGCCGCGTGGCAGGGAGGTCAGGCAGAGTGTGGGCTTTGCTCTCCTGGTCCTCATGTATGGAGGGTAAGTCATAACACCTCCCTTCCTCAGTTTCCCCGTTGCCGTAACAGACATCAGAATGATCCAGAGGTAATGTCAGGTCTGGAGGATGAGAGCAGCTCCTGATGCCTACATGCCCAGCAGCAGGTCCTGGTGTGTAGGGACCATGCAAACCAGGGCTGTCCCAACAACCCCACGGTGTTGGCCATGAAGGGTCCCAGGCTGCACTGGCGGGGACTCCACCTCGTCCCTCCAGCGCATTTCATTTTACATCCTTTCTGGAGTGCAGAAGAGGAGCCAACAAATGCAAGCAGGGATCTGCAGCCATCCCAGGAGGCTAAAATGTCAGGGCAGGGGACCTGGTGACAGAGTGACAGAAACACCCAGAGTTAGAAGAATAGATAAGGGGACCTGGCGGCAAGAGAACAAGCAAAGGGCACTTGCTATCAGCGCTAGCAAGGCCGTGCCAGGATTTGGAGAGCCTGACCATCTCATCCCTTCGACTCCACTATTTATAGCAGTGTTTGCTGATGCCTCTGTCACCGGAGCCTAAAATGGTCCCCACCGTGCACACCCAGGGCTGCTGGGCTCAGCCACCCTGCACTGGGGAGGCCACCAACGAAGCAGTGACTCAACGGAGCGTGTGTGAAGCTGCTCATCGCCCCACTGACGGAGGAAGCCGGCGTCTCCCTCTGCCAAGAGGCAGCTCCACACTGGGCCAGCTCCTTGGAAGATGCACCAGACGGTTTCTGTTTAAGGCCTGGCCGATGGCCAGGAAGAGTCAGGGGGGTAAATAGACCTACTTTCCACCCTGCGTCTTCCTGCCCTCCACAGAACTGGGGCTGGTCTGGCTTTTTCTGCGAGCCAATGGTTTCCACAGCTTAATGTTGGTCCTCAAGGTAGCTGTGGCGATAGCTCTGTGCCTTGCCCATGCTGCTGGAAACAATCCTTTGGTTACTGGGCTGGAGCAAGACATAAGAGGGTAAAGACCTTGTTAACTCCAGGGTGTATATGCCCTGTTCCCCGCCTGGAGATTCGCCTTTTGAAAAAAACTGCTTCGTTTTTTCTCCCAGTTCTGCCCAGGTCAGGGAGCGATGGAGGCGGAGATCTCTCTGTCCTGGCTTTTTCCCATTCCTGCCGCGAAAGCTTCATTACCAGGCCTGTACTTCAAAGCTTCGCTGGCAGTGCTGTGCCGGATGGGACTGTGCACATAATCCCACCAAGGAGGAGTGGGGAGGAGAGGGGGTCTCTACAGCCCCGGGGGTACAGATGCCAGGCAAGTATGGCTGCACCCACCAGGGAGCGATGGCCGGCCCCACACTGCTGAGAGCTCAGCTGCCAAATTTCCTGATTGAATGACCTGAGAGGAGACAGGCATTAGTGTTTTTTTTTCTTAAAGTATATAGATAAAATGCTCAGGGATATCATCCAGCCATCCTGCGCGCAGGGTGGGACTTAACGCTTGTTTTCTCTGAGGGCAAATAGTGTGGTTATCCTTTCTCTCCATGGCAAAAAGGGGATGCAGAGCCTAGGACTGGCTCTGAATTTTTAAGCTTTACTCAGTGCAGGCTCAGTGGTACCCATGAGCAGCCCCGCAGCTGGAACTAGCCCATGCTGCTGTGGCTGTGTCCTTGTCACCGTGGCTGTCACCAGTGAGCAGCGGTTTCCCCCTCGAGATAAAGCCAACCTGTCCAGGGCCATGCAAGTTGGCATCCACAGGCAGCAGAATTGACACTATACCCGCTAAAAAGGGGGGGGACCCCTTCCAGTCACAACATCCAGACCCCCACCTGACAAAGCCCCAAGCAAGGAGTCTTTGTCCAGGGAATTGTGCGAGAGGGAGGATAAATAAAAGGAAAATTTGCTCCCATCACCCTGTGAGGGAAACCTGGCTCTGCTGGCCCCGCGCAGTACTGGAGTTTGGGCTGCATTTGTCGGAAATTTTTGCACGGGTGGAAACGGTCGCGAGTGCTGGAAATTCACACCCATCCTGGCTGGGATGAGTTCATGCCTGGGAATAGTGGACCCCTTTCTGCCGCCACAGCCATGGGGACGGGGACGGTGACAGTTGTGGTGTCGAGCGGGTGCCACGAGAGGGCGTGAAGGGCTGTGATGGTGGCAGGCGTCCCCCTCACAGGCATCTTTCATGGGCCAAAGTGCTCCAAGTGGCATCACCGCCTTCCGCGGTGCCACCGGTTGCTCCTTCCCTGTCAAGCATGTGTTTGGAAAGTGTGTGAGTAGGCATGTCTGCCTCAGCGCAGCCCCGGTAGCCATCTTAGCCCTTAGGTGGTCCCCAACCCACCGCCTCATGTGGTATGTCCTCCACAGGGAAGGGCACCTACTTGAAGCCCACCAAGCTGGCAATGGAGAGGTTTTCCTCAGTGCCAGCTCCAGCATGGGCACCATGTCCTTAAATGCCAGTGTGGCACTGAGGTATGGCCACCATCTTGGGCACTGTGGTGCTGAGGTGGGGCCGCCATCTTGGGTGCTGAGGCAGGGCCACCGTCTTGGGTGCCACAGCAGGGTGGCCACCTCAGGCACCACAGCAAGGCTGCCATCTCAGGTGCCGTGACAGGGTGGCCACCTCAGTCACCTTGTCACCCAGGGTGACCAGGCTAGGGGGCTGCAGGGCTACCTCGCGCGTCATGGCCGGGGCACTGGGGGCCTTTCCTGCTGGCTGTATAAACAGGCCCCCGCTTCCTCGGCGGCCGGGCGGCCTCCTCCAGGTGCGGCTGGGAATCATTAGGAGCTCTCCGCGCCAGGCTGAGTGTGGGAACTGGAAGAGAAAGCTGGAGAGAGGCCTTCTTTCATCTCCCCACTCCCTCCTCCCCCTGTGTCTGCCAAGCCTGGCTTCCTTTTGAATCCTTTAGCTTGTGCCAAGCGAGGGAGAAGGGGAGGGGAGGAGGAATAAAGAGAAAAAGGGAAGAAAAAAAAAAAAAAAAAAAAACCCCAAGGAATGGTGCCGGGGACTGGGCTTTATTCAGGCTGGCGGTCCCTGCCCCAACCCACCGCCTCATGTGGTATGTCCTCCACAGGGAAGGGCACCTACTTGAAGCCCACCAAGCTGGCAATGGAGAGGTTTTCCTCAGTGCCAGCTCCAGCATGGGCACCATGTCCTTAAATGCCAGTGTGGCACTGAGGTATGGCCACCATCTTGGGCACTGTGGTGCTGAGGTGGGGCCGCCATCTTGGGTGCTGAGGCAGGGCCACCGTCTTGGGTGCCACAGCAGGGTGGCCACCTCAGGCACCACAGCAAGGCTGCCATCTCAGGTGCCGTGACAGGGTGGCCACCTCAGTCACCTTGTCACCCAGGGTGACCAGGCTAGGGGGCTGCAGGGCTACCTCGCGCGTCATGGCCGGGGCACTGGGGGCCTTTCCTGCTGGCTGTATAAACAGGCCCCCGCTTCCTCGGCGGCCGGGCGGCCTCCTCCAGGTGCGGCTGGGAATCATTAGGAGCTCTCCGCGCCAGGCTGAGTGTGGGAACTGGAAGAGAAAGCTGGAGAGAGGCCTTCTTTCATCTCCCCACTCCCTCCTCCCCCTGTGTCTGCCAAGCCTGGCTTCCTTTTGAATCCTTTAGCTTGTGCCAAGCGAGGGAGAAGGGGAGGGGAGGAGGAATAAAGAGAAAAAGGGAAAAAAAAAAAAAAAAAAAGAAAACCCACAGGAATGTGTCCGGGGATCTGGCTTCATTCAGGCTGCTGAGCC